TGGTTTGGTTTGGTTTGGTTTGGTTTGGTTTGGTTTGGTTTGGTTTGTTTTTTTCGAGACAGGGTTTCTCTGTGTAGTCCTGGCTGTCCTGGAACTCACTCTGTAGACCAGGCTAACCTTGAACTCTCGAACTCAGAAATCTGCCTGCCTCTGCCTCCCAAGCGCTGGGATTAAAGGCGTGTGCCATCTCCACCTGGCCTCACTTGAATTTCTAACATTAAATTTATGTATTTTATTACATAAGCTTAAAACTTTATCAGCAGCTAAATTAGCAATATTAAATATTACCAAATTCACAGTGTGTAGTCAGCTGCCTCAAAAGTTATAACACCTCATACATATATCACTTGGATTTATTCAAGTTAAAATCCAAATAGTACCCTATCATTCCTACCTATCATGTTTAGGTGTTTGCATTCTATTTATTTACTTAAGACAGTGTTTCACTGTGAAGCCCTGGCTGGCTTGGAACTTCCTACACAGACCAGGCTGGCCTTGAATTTGAGGATCCTGCCTACCTCTACCTCTTGAGTGCTGGGATTAATGGCATGAGCTATCAGGTAGGACTGGTTATTAGGATTTTAAAAGTCCCTTTGAATCTAGACCAGTTCTTCCACACTTCCTCCTCTTGTGCTTCTGCCTTGTTGATAACTTTCCCATGTCCTTAAGGGACCCCCTCCCTGTGTCTTACTGGCGGGTCTTGATAGTCAGTTTCCAGCTTCTATTTCCTGCGAGCTAAACATCAGAGGTCAGTGATAAGTTTAGGACCACCTTCCTACTTTTTTTTTTAAAGTAGCACTTGTGTTTCATAGAGGGCTGAAACTTCACTCTATAGGGACACACGTACTGAACTGTCTTAGTTCTAATGGCACAAAGATCCATGACACCCCATTGTAAAGTTCCTGTCGGTCCTGCTTTGATTTAAGAGAGTGGCTGCCTGCATTGTTTGCTCATTTCAATTTATTTATTTATTTTTATTTTATGTACATTGATATTTTGCCTACATGGCCGTTGGGGGTGTCGGATTCCCTTGAACTGGACTTTTAGACAGTTGTGAGCTGCCTTGTGGGTGCTGGGAATTGAACCGGTGTCCTCTGGAAGAGCTCTTAACTGTTCTCTCCAGCCCCTGCACTGTTTTATCAGTTTTCAAAGTGGAGCTTTATTCTTATTCTATCCTGTTACCGGTCTGAATACACAGAAACTGCCTTGGCACCAGTGAAGCCCAGATCAATTTGAGCGGAGGCGAGAACCGAGTGCAGGTTCTGAAGACTGTCCCAGTGAACCTCTGCCTGAGTCAAGACCACATGGAGAATTCCAAGCGTGAGCAGTACAGCGTGTCCATCACCGAGAGCCCGGCCGTCATCCCGGTGTCAGGCATCACGGTGGTGAAAGCCGAGGATTTCACGCCTGTGTTCATGGCGCCCCCGGTGCACTATCCCCGCGCGGACGGCGAGGAGCAGCGCGTGGTTATCTTTGAACAGACTCAGTACGACCTGCCCATAGCCAGCCACAGCTCCTATCTCAAGGACGACCAGCGCAGCACACCTGACAGCACCTACAGCGAGGGCTTCAAGGACAGCGCCTCGGAGGTGAGCCCGGCTCCCCAGCCCAGAACACCAGTCTCCACTTTCCGTTCACGAGATTAAATGAGATTGAGTTTATCTACTCTCATTATTTTTAACGTTTTGTTGGTAATTTGGTATTTTGAAACACGTGGGCCGGGCGGTGGTGGCGCACGCCTTTAATCCCAGCACTTGGGAGGCAGAGGCAGGCAGATTTCTGAGTTCGAGGCCAGCCTGGTCTACAGAGTGAGTTCCAGGACAGCCAGGACTACACAGAGAAACCCTGTCTCGAAAAACCAAAAAAAAAAAAAAAAAAAAAAAGAAAGAAAAAGAAAAAAGAAAAAAAAAAGTATGAAACACGTGGAGGAATATGTCTGTCTCATCTGTTCGGTGATATTTTGTTTTAAGTTTTTTTTTTTTTTTTTTTAAAGAGTTATTTATTTATTATATATGAATACACTGTACCTGTCTTCAGACACACCAGAAGAGGGCATCAGATCTCATTACAGATGGTTGTGAGCCACCATGTGGTTGCTGGGATTTGAACTCAGGACCTCTGGAAGTGCAGTCAGTGCTCTTAACCACTGAGCCATCTCTCCAGCCCTTGTTTTAAGTTTTTATGAGAGGTTAGGAGAAGCTTTCAAGGGTTTATGTCCCTCATTGTTTTGAACTTTCCAAATGGTAGACACTAAAAATGTTACATGTCCATTCTTATTAAAAAACAGTATAGGTCTTGGCAGCTTTTGGCAGCCTGACATTGGTAGCATTTGCCATCCAGTGGGCTTTTATTTGTGTGTACTTTCTTTTTCTTTTTTTAAAATAATTTTTTTTTCTCAAATCGTAATTCATTCACACAGGGGTTATAAACACAGAAAGGCAGGATGTGGGGAAGGGGATGACACTGGAGTGTGGGTGTTCAGGGGGAATACAGATATCTTTCAGAACTGGGTATCGGCTGGGTGAAGGTTCAGGGGACAAGTCGTTATGACTCTGCCTATGACTCACTTGACCTTATCTAAGTTGGTATTGTCTGCCAAGGCTACCTATTTACAAGGTCTATGACTACTCAGGCTGGTAAATTTCCACAAAAGCTGCCTGTTTACAATAGCTTATAGCCATCTGTTTCAATGTTTTTCCACTGAGACCCAAGACTTGGTGTTAGTATACATGTGTGACAGGCCGATAGCTGATTTTAGGCCTTCAGTGTGTAAGCAGGGCTGCCCCTGACATCTCCTCCCTTCTCTAAGTATAGAAGGGCTGTGGCAATTCTAATCTTGCGAAGGTGGGGATAGAGGCCTGACCTCCAGTACTTGAAGGGGACCTTGTAATGGCTCCGGTCCCCCTGTTGTTGTCCAGTGAGGCATGAGGGCCATACCCATCCTGATGTCTTTTTCCTGGAGAGGGGATACTTTTGACATCAACCCCTATGCAGTCAGGCTTGTCCCTTTCTAACAGATTGAGAGGTCAAATTCCTCTCAAGCCCCCACAAATGTCACACAGGTACTTCTGTTTATCTACTTGTTTTAGATTCATAATTTCTAAATGCATAAATATAGAATTTTGATAATTATCTTCGTCTGGGCAGTCAATGTTGGAACACCACTTAGAAAGTTTTGACCCTAAAACAAGCCTCTGACCTTGAAGTCTTCTTTCTCTTGGCTCCTGGCACTCAGGAATCTGACTGTCAAGGTAGTGTTTCTTCTTTTAACATTCCATGTAAATTGAATGGAATATAATCTTTTACATAGTCTTCTTTCATTTATCGTAGTTTTGGATTTATTTGCTTATTCTTATGGGTAAACAATTTATATTTTTCAATTGCTGGTCAGTTTTCCAAGGTGAGTGAATATCACAATTTATTTAGGAATCCATTAATTGGTGGGTATTTGCTCGCTTTCAGTTTGAGGTTATTGTGCTTAATGCTTTTCTAAGCAGACTGGTGTATGTTTTAATAAGTGGACTTGTTCATTTCATGTGGGTATCTGCGGCTGGAATTACCTGCTGGACTGTGGGGTGTATATGTACCTTCCTAGGTGCATGCAAATAGCATTTGTAAGTTAACTTCATTCGGTGATGTAACAGTCATTTTTATTTTCCACACCCTTGCCAATACTTGTAAGGATAATTAGTCAGCTTAACTTCAGATATCTTAGTGACTTTGTCCACTTTGGTTTCAATTTGCATTTCTCTGATATCTTGTGAGACTGTGTATTGTTTCATGTGATTCGCCTTTCTTTGTATCTTATGTGGCGTGTCTGTTCAAGTCTATGGGCAACTTATGTTCCTTTTATTAAGCTGTAAAGGGTTCTTTAGGTAACAGGAATGAATATAAGCCTTTATCATCTATATGCTTTTAATCCCAGAGTCCTTTTTTCTTAATTAGGTCATTTAAAGAGTATAGGTATATAAACAAATCAATTTTACCTAATCAAATTTGTCTTTTATAGTTGATGCTTTTAAATGTTAATATTTTTCTAACCCAATGTCTCAACAATTTTCTTGTGTGTGTCTAAACCAATGTCTCAACAATTTTCTCTTGTATGTTCATGTGCATGTGTGTATTAACCATTTTCTCATGTGTGTGGTTAAACCAATATCTGAACAATTTTCTAATATGTGCATTTCTAGACAGCTGATCCACTTAAAAATAATTTTATAATTTTTTTCTAAATTTATATATTTATTCTTTTGGAGACAGGGTCTATATAGCCCTGACTGTCCTGGAGCTTGATATATAGACCAGATTGTCCTCCGACTCACAGAGATGTCCGCTTGCCTCTTCTTTTCCACTGCTAGGATTAAAAACATGTATGCACCAATATACCCGACTCTAAACGTGCTTTTACCATTATTAGTATTATTAATTTATTATTATTATTATTATTATTATTATTATTATTTTTGCAGACAGGGTTTCTCTGTCCTCCCAGGCTGTCCTGGAACTCATTCTGTAGACCAGTCTGGCCTCAAACTCACAGAGATATGACAGCTGGGATTAAACATGTGCACGCCACCATTTTCTGGTCTTCTTCTTCTTCTCCTTCTCCTCCTCCTCCGTATGTGTGTGTGTATGTGCATTCATGTGTGCACAACTTTTGAGAGTCCTTTCTTTCTTTCCACCATGTGGATCTTGGAGATTGAAGTCAGCTTGTCAGACTTGGCAGCCCGTGCCTGCTGAGCCATCTCACAGTATGAAGCAAGGCTTGAGGTTCCATTGTGTATTGATGTATACTGGTGTATACTGGTGTATAATGGTGTATACTGGTGTATACTGGTGTTCTTCCAGCGCCATTTATTGATTTTGAGAAGATGTTCTTGTGTCCATTTACTTGCCACAAAATCTTCGTAGAATGTCTACTGATGCTGTCTCTGTGGTAGAATGTCTACTGATGTTCTCTCTGTGGTAGGATGTCTACTGATGCTGTCTCTGTAGTAGGATGTCTACTGATGCTGTCTCTGTGGTAGGATGTCTACTGATGCTGTCTCTGTGGTAGGATGTCTACTGATGCTCTCTCTGTGGTAGGATGTCTACTGATGCTGTCTCTGTGGTAGGATGTCTACTGACGCTGTCTTTGTGGTAGAATGTCTACTGATGCTCTCTCTGTGGTAGGA